ATCTTTGGACTCTAGATTCCCCTGAAACATGATCTTGGTGAAAAGGACAGTTATCTTGGTAAACTCAACAAACCCGAAGTAGTCACACGGAAGGACCTACAGAGGGAGACCGTAAACGATTAGGTCTACGTAGTTGCATCTACCGATCCCCGCCCTAACCGGTAACCCTTATGGCCCTAAAAAGGTGGCACCCGGCCACGACACACACCGGCCCAAATCCACCTACTCCGACATGCCGACATGGGCTCCTGTCCTATCTTTTCCCCCCCTTCACCTGCAGACTGAGTCTCCAGCACGCCCCTTGTAACCCCGATACCATTATTTCGGTAATCAACCAAAGCTCATTATAATGAGGGAGGGTTGGATTGTAAATCAAATGGAAATTTGAGAGATTTCAACCTTCCTCTTCTTCTCACCCTCCCTTGGTCTACAAATTAACACAACATATAGTTAAGAAATTCCTTGAATGATTGATCTGCAGAGGGAATTTCATGTTACAGCAATAAAAAAGTAAAGATAAATAAAAAACTAAGATCAGAGTTGATCCTAAAAGGTTGATTTTACACTTCCAATTAAACCCCAGCAAATCGTTATGCTTTCACAGTCTGTGTGAGCCAATGTTCAACTGCAGGGTGCACATCAGAGACTGACAGCTCAATTACTAAATCTAAAATTGCTTCTCCCAGTCCAGCTGACTAAGTATAATCTGCAGTTGACTTGCCTTAAATGGCGCCTCAGATGTTGAATCTGTGGTAGGTAAGTTTAAAGATCAACAGTAGGATAAACACTTGTCGTTTCCGTTCCCCTCCTCCCTCCACACTCCCTGCCAGTAGCAATTAGCAACAGGTTGATTGACAACCTAGAACAGTGTTCATGCTTAACTTGATCCTTCTTGGTCAGATGCCCAAAACGTACTTTGTAGGCAAACATACGACTCTGCCAAGATTCTGACATATTAAACTACTTATTTATGGTCACCAAATATGGGAATTACGTCTGCTAAGCTTAGACAAAATATAAACTTGTAAAAACTGCCTGCTAGAACTCTTTAGCTATAACTCTCAGGCTATATGTCAAGGACGATTCATGCATTTTCATGCATCATTTCCTTTCCTTCTGATCAAGTCTTGCCTGATTTACAAATCTCTGTCATGGCTGCAGCTAATCTCTATTACTGTAAAGAGTATGTTGGGTCACACTCTCTTTATTATTATATCCCCATGATCTCACAGTTGTAGCTGTCATCAGTGCTTTGTCCTGGATATGTGAGAGCTTTTGGAGCAGCACCCACCCACAGTAGGCCGTGATGTCATGTGAGCAGCACCTGTCCCGGTGGTAGGAGCCCACCGCCCCACGGTGGTTTGTGGGCTGCTGAGGTAGGCATGTATGGCATGTCTAGCTCTGGCTCCAAGGAACGAAGGCCTGTTATGCCAATGAAAGTGTTGGGACAGCTGTTTGTGTCTGTGTGTGTGTCCTTACATGCTAATCTTTAAATTGGCTTCATGTGTATTAGAGGGGCTTAATCTACTTCATATCTATGGGATTATTTTTAAGATAATTGTTTTGACATGATTGTAATGGAACTGAAGGCGGGGGGGGGGGGGGGGGGGTTACTAGTGGAATGGGAGATACAATATCAGCTTTGAACACATTTCAGCCCTTTATATGGCCGTTATCAGTGGTTATCAGCCTCATAGATATGGGTTAGAAGGGGCCTAGTAAATCTACTTGAAAGTGCACATTATCATCTACTCATAGTTGTTTTGGCACCTAAACATAACTGCAAACTTTTCATAACGTTGGATAAGCACTCTTTTCACTTACTTAAGTTCATTCATGGCCCTGATAATGTTGCAAAGGGTGCATCTGATCAAAATATGGAGTTACGAATACACACCTAGGATAAATGATACATTTCAAAAATGTCTCCAATACTCTCTTACTAAAGCTAGAGCTAAAATCAGCGGAATTGTAAAGCAAGCCTGAAGGCACAATTCTAAACCAAACAGAAGCTGCCTTATTTGATGACTTATAGCCAGCAGCAATCACATTTGTAGAGTTGCAGAACTAGCTGCAGCAATAGTAGAAGTAGTAGAAGTAGAATGATTAGTAGTTGCTGTAATAGTTTACTTTCTTAGTACTTTTTGTCCCATTGTGCAAATTCCTTTGGTAAATGCAAAGTAGTCCTTTCCTTTTGTTTCCTTAAAAAATGTAATACGTGTTATATAATTAAGTTTTAATTTACCGGTAGTCAGAAAAAGTACATTACATTACATGTCACTTGTTAGATGCTTTTACACAAAGCGACTTACATGCACTCAATAGTTTGGGCAATCCCCACAGTATCTTGCCCAGGGACATGATGACTGCAGTGGGGATTGAGCCTGTGCTCCCCTGATCCGAAGATCAGCGCACAGCCTCCTCCAAAAAGTAGTTAACTAGTACCCACACCTGGGTGTGTCAATGAGAATGCCAAAGTAGTCAAAGATAAAACAAGTTGCGGTTGCAAATCAGGTGATATTGCAAGACGAGGCATGTCTGTGTGTGGGCAGATGTAAAATGCCAGCACAAGAGATGATATCACTTTACTTCCTTGTTTACAGAGAAACTATGGTGGTGCCATGCAATTGCTGTCTGCCAAAAAGCTGTAAAACTTCCAGTCTTTTAACCTTTGCCACCATAAACACACCTAAAATGACCTTCCAGATGGCAAATGACTATGAACACATATGTTCACTTTCACTTGCAGCGCTGTCAAAAGAGGTTTTTGACATTGCAGTGTTTAGACAGTCTGCCTGCAGCTGTTACATCCATAGATTCAAGTGTGGGAATGCAGGGGGTGTGTGCATGCTTTCATGTTTCTGTACGTGTTTTAGCACGTACAGTGCAGGCGTGGGCATTCATGTACCTGCTTGCATCTTTGCCATGTTAGAGTCACACTGGACACAGGCGCAGAGGTAGCTTCTGGTCCTGGTGCTATGGTGAAGGTGGTCCATTTGATGGCGCTTTTCCATTACAGCACATAGCACGTTTTTTTGTTGCTTTTCCACTAGGGGTAGTTCCGGCTCAGGGCTACTTTTTCACCTTTTTTCTGGCCCTCCAAAATCGAAGTTCTTACCGGGCCAACAACCGGGCTGAATATCCTAAACTAGTGACGTAAACACTCGACTGCTGAATGGTCAGAGAGAATCGCTGGCAAGGGGTTACAACTACAACAAAATGAACATATTTGACGGTGATTTAATTTTAATACACGTTTCAAAATCATGCCGAATTAACAACATTCTGATACCGGTCTGCAGACAAGACGGCAGGCGAAAAACCTTTTAAAATGCTTGTTTTCTGAATGGAGATCGGTTCGATCACACTCACAACAACGGCCTACAGACATAAATAAACCAGCGACTGTATTCGCCACGAAACAGACAGTCCGTTTGTGTCATGTTTAACTTACTTAGTACAGCTGATGTACTTGTTTAACTTTTGTCTAGTTTCTGAACACAGATATGAGGAGCTGTGAGCTCTGAGTGCTAACAGCAGCTAATATTACATGAGATGGAGCTGCAACGATAAGTGGACTAATTGATTTGTTAACCGACTTTTTTGATACTTTTTTACTTGTTATTTTTCATGCAAATATTACAACAAATGATGTTTTCCAGCTTATAAAATGTGGAGATGTCCTGCTTTCTTCTGTTCTATATGATAAAGTAAATGTATTTGGATTTTGGACATACAAACAAAAGATTTAAGGACAACAAATTGGACTTACTACCATGACCATATTCACAGGAGTTCCTTGACCTCTCACCTCAAGATATCTGAATGGAATATGGTTGAATCCCAACAAGTCTCCTCTTTTCAGACATATCCACCTTTTGCTAATGCAATTGAGAGATAAAGCCATATAGATCGTTTTTGAATATGTCTGCACAATAGTGTCCCTAAACAGTGTGAAATGGTATACTAGGCCTATGATAAATCAATAATGAAAAGTGCTAGTATTTTGCAACCCTCATTTGGGACAGTTTGAATAGATCTTACTTTCCCAAAACAACTGTAATTTGCTCAGAAGAGAAGGATGTCTAAGTATGTGGGCTTAAAAGACTCCTTTGGGGAAAATCAAAAAAGAAATGTCGTCAGTCTGCTTATTGGACAGGTTTTTATTTTGGCAACCTCAGATCAAAAATCAATCAAAATCAGACAGTAAGGTGTTTTTATTGGTAACATGTTGGATGTGTGTGAAATCATTCAGTGAAGCGCCTGAAGCTCTGCACTGTGGGACTCGCGGCCCCCCAGTCGCCGTGCTTACGGTACTCCCCCTTCTCCAGGAAGTACTGGCGCCCGCGGTAGTTTGGATGCTCGTAGAAAACCCACCATCCGTCCAGGACCTTGCACGAGTTCACCTCCCTCCAGCGGATCTTCTCCAGCAGCGAGGGGCAGTCGTCTGAACCCTCGAAGGCCTGGCCCCCGAAATCTGGCTTCTCATACAGCTGGATCTTATACTGAGACCCCCCGGTCTGAGAGGAAGAGGGGAGGAGGAGATGAGGAAGAAAAAAGATTAGTCCATTTATTGAACATGTTAGAAACAGAACAAACAATAGTATTAATAATTATAATTTTAACAAAGAGAAGCAAAATGAAAAAACGTTCAAGGTATCTTTGGAGTCTTTCTTCATGCGGAAAATTCAAGAAATGCTGCTTTCAGACTGTATGTAGAGATTTTCGGCTTTTCTCTGTTTTATGACATATTAAATTGAATATTTGTGGATTTTGGATCGACAAAAACGAGACTGTACTACCCCCCCCCCCTCTAGCGTACATTGCTCATGCAAATGCAAGTTTATGTCATCGTCATCAGCATCCGTCATATTTGATTCATTGTTTAAAACAAATCATTTTTTTTGGACAAAACAACCAAAAATAAATAACTTTTACAACGACAAGAAATAGCAATCATGACTTCGCAGGTCCTGCTCAGAACCATGCAGCATTTGGTTTCTAAATAAGAGTTTTAGTTTAGATAAAGTTGCACAGTATTTCAGCTCATCATTAGAGTTATTCCACAGATCAACACCTTTTGTTGTGATGGGTTAAAGCGGAAGGTATAGGTGGTTTTATTGCAGAGGGTTAGGGGTGAATGGGGAAGGATGTAGGAAAACAGGAAGGGAGGATACGATTTAAATCTGACAAAAGTAAATCGTATTTGTCCCACTGCATATTAAATGAGGGTTATAATCATTATCTGGCATGATCCGTATCAATTAGATGAATTATTCTCACAGCTTTTAGTCGGAGGTACCCCAAAAACCCTAATCAGATAAAGTTGCGTACCCCTCATTTGACTCCCAACATTATTCCAAATGTACAAACACAATTCATTTTATACAAGTGCCTTTTGTTAATTGCTTCTTATAAATTAACTTAAAGTGGACCTATCATGCTATATTTGAATAATATAGTGTAGGACCATACCTATATAAGGTATATTTATACTTTTTATTTTTCAAAATACCAAACAGATTTCGCTCAATTTAACACTGTCTTTGCATGGGCTGATTCTGTGAGAACAGCACCATCTACAGGCCTGGCATATGTACTACAGCGTCTCCAGCGCTTTCCAACGGCAATGTCCGTGGCTGTCTCCTCCTGATTGGTGGAGTTGGCCCAATAGCCGTAGCGCCACTTATGTGACGTCAGAGAAGTGTTGGATCAGTCTGTATCAGATCCGTTGCGGCCCCTTTTTTAGAGATTTGGGTATGGAGGAAAAGAGAGAGGGTTGTGTTTTCTGACACTTGGTGAGTTCCCTGGAACACCGGGGACACATGTTCAAGTATAAAAGATGTACAAAAGTGCATTTTGCATGATAGGTCCCCTTTAATATTTAGGTTGGTTTGGTCAGTAATCATTCTCCTACTTCTGTTGAGTTAACATCATGTTTTACCGTTAACTAACATTACTTTTAGAAATGTATTCCCACCATTAATTGATCTGTGTTGCTTTTTGCGAACTGTTTCAACCATTCATTAATCTAACATGACTTTGTTATTTCAACCTTTTAGCTAATGGACTAACAGTACTGTTTTTCTAACCCTCACATGATGGCAGATCTAGTGTTTAGCTGTTGTAATTGACTCATTTTGTAGTTTAATTAATTACTTAACTACAGCAACAGTGTCCTATTGGGAATGTTGCTCATCCCTGCATTAGATAACCATCACTAATTGTTTAAACTAACACATGCAGCTCGTACAACTCAGATTGATCTCTGAGTGTGGCTGCAGGCTGTGGGTCAGATCGTTCTGAGGACTGACCCTCGTATTGGTTTCCATCCACTGAGCCCTGCAGACATGAAGCAGCAGAGCATGACGTCCATCAGTCAGCTCCACTCTCTGCTGCTCACACGCTGCCTTTATCACTGCCTTAACTGCTGACTGCCTGAGCCATGAAGACAAATGATCTGCTTCACAGCTGATTTGTTTGTACAGGTTACTGGTGGCTTAAAGGTCCCCTATTATACTGTTCTTCATCAATATATCACAGGTCTCAGATAAATACAGAAACTGTCTCTGATTGGCTGAAACACCGAACCGATCATTGCAGCATTACCCATAATCCCCTCTGTTTCAGCCCTGTTTCCAAAGTGCTGATTCTCTGTCTGTTACTTTAGATGAAAATAAGGAGCCCCTCCCCACGCCCCTCTGAGAGAGATTTGGTTACAAAGAACTCAATGGAGCTCTAGGAGGAGATTCAGGTGATAAGGTGGGGGGGGGGGGGGTTACCTTGGTTGCTGATTGGCTAATGGTTACACAAGACAAAACATCATTATGACATCATAAAGTGGCCAAAATCTGATCAGCTCATTTTCAGACAGGTTTTTATAGAAATGGATCAAAAAGAGAGAGAATCTTTGTTCCTGAAACTTTCAGAGTCTCTTTCGAAGAGGGGACACATGGTGATGTAGAAGAGACATGAAGAAGAGGGGACACATGTTGATGAAGAAGAGACATGAAGAAGAGGGGACACATGTTGATATAGAAGAGACATGGAGAAGTGGATTTTGCACAATAGGTGACCTTTAAGAGATCAATCTCAGTAATCGTTAATTACACCAGACCCCAGAGGTTTACTTGTTATGTCATACATCATCTCGCTATGATCCATTATTCCATTTGTGTAAGACTTTGCAATTAATTTATTTCTAAAAACCTCCTCTCACTGTTTCTTGTTTTGTTTTAAATGGTGCTTTCTTTAAATCAGGACTGTTTTAGGGTCAAAAGCATCCAAGTCCACCTATGCCCTTTTAATGGAGGGTGGAACTTTGTATTGAGTCCATGTTTCCACAGCGTGTTTCCAATCACACTCTCTTTCCTTTCACTTTTAGTATGAACTGCAGCTGCCCTTGCAAAGTATTTAGCAGTGCATGCAGTAGGCTACAATCAAGACGGAGTACTTCATACGACATGACATTGCATCCTCGGGTTCAGTAGGACATCCTTGTATTTGAGGCATCCTGCATTTGACATACTATGTATTGGGACATGCTTAACATTTTTATGGCATACCAAATACTGTAGTACGGTATTAAGCAGATGTGAAAGGAGTACACGGCTCTTAGCTTAAGTTAAAGTGTTATTACCACAGTGTAGAAATACTCTGTTACGAGTAAAAGTACTGTATTGTTTGCTTAAGTAGAAGTATAAAAGTATCAGCATCAAATATACTTAAAGTACCAAAACTAAAAGCTCTCATTATGCAGATTAATGAATATTATATCACTGGATTATAATCAGTGATCCATTATCGTGGAGCTCATTCGAATGACTTTCATTACCTCCAGGTGTGATCATTCATTAGTTGACTTTGTAATAATACAAACCTGCCAAGACTTAAATGTTGAAGTAAAAAGTCCCCAACCAATTTTAGTGTAGCATAAAATGGAAATACTTGAGTTAAGTACAAGTACCTTAAAACTATTATTATTAAGTACAGTAGTTGCGTCAATGTTCTAAGTTACTTTCAGTCTCAGGTATTAAAGGTATTTGAAGCCAAGAGACAAGAATACCTCTTGTGCTCTGTCTACACCAGATAAGCTGCTGTCTGACTTACGAAGTGGACCATCTTGCAGGAGCTGAGGCGGTCGTTGAGGCCCATCCAGCGCTGGTAGTCGGGGTACTCCCCCCGGATGAGGACGTACTGGTGCCCCATGAAGTTGAGCCTCTCGTACAGCACCCAGGCGCCGCTCTCCACCCGGATGGAGTTGCAGCGGCTCAGGTAGGCGTGGAAGTCGGAGCAGTCGCTGTCGCACTCATAGCGGCGGCCCTGGAAGCTCTTATCCTCGTAGAACACAATCTGAGGGGAGAGAGGGCAACCGTACACACATCCTTTACTCAAGTAGAAGTACTGACTAAACTTCTTTACTCAAGTCAAAGTAAAGAGGCTTTGAAATGTACTTCAGTAAAAAGTACCCATAACTAGCAGCTGTTTTAAAGAGTACCTGACCTCCCTTTATATTAATAGAACAATAATGTCATTGNCGCCACTCCTCCAGGCCAACTTCACTGCTAGCAGCTCCTGGTTTCCTACATCATAGTTTATTTCCGCTGGAGTCAAACGCCTTGAAAAGAAAGCACAGGGGTGGAGTTTTTGGCTGTTCACAGATACAAAAAAATACAGATTTCAGTATTCTGACACAGAACGATTTTAGAAGCAATGATTTTTTGTTTCGTGCCTACACCAAATAATAACAAATTAGAAGGAAAAAAAGAGGACAAAAAATACAGATTTCAGTATTCTGAGGCTCTGGGCCCCATTTCTTTTCCTCGCGGACGGCAAAAAAAACTCCTACATTATACAATTTAAAATAAAAGGGATAGGGTTAGGCTTAGGGTAAGATATTGAATAAGAAAATGTTTTCTATGAACTACACAGCTTCTGGTCTTCCAAGACCCGGCCGGACAAAAAGACGTGGTGCAGGCACGAAACATACTACCAATAGAAATGCATTGCTTCTAAAATCGTTCTGTTTGACACGAAAAAAGTGTGAAAATCGTGTTGGTGAACACGAATCAATAGATTACATAACATGAAATACCGTGAGACTGGGTTGAACCATACCGTACTAAGGTACTAGGTCATGCAGTGGAAAAGCGCAGAGAGATGCGCATCACAGCTGTTTGTGGAATGGCAGCGTATTTTAATTCCTGTCTATCAGGACTGCTTCGCCAAAAGCCTGTTCTTGCTTGTTGTTTCTCTTTCAACAAACACCAAATACCACAACTCAAGTTTGTCTTTGCACCTGTGAGGCGGTTGAATTTTGCCTACTAGCACAAGGGGCGTAAAACGGGATTAATAGAGAAAATAAGTTTAGCAATGACTATGAATTTGAGGTGCATAATTTTGTTTCTGTACCTCTAGCCCACACATGTTCAAAGGGGATTGTACCAATTGTGTTATTACCAACCCAATCTCCAAGAGTTTCGAGACCTTTTCTATGACCTACGTAAACGTATTTCTTGAGCTGCTGGTGGAGCTTAAGAAAATTGTAGGGATGACAGAATCAGAAGGATATTCTTTGGCAATGTATCCAATATCTATCAAGACATTTCACAAGGGCTGAGGAGAATATTTTAGGGGATCACTAAATAATAAAAATAAAAACCCATTGGAATTCTTCCTCTGGTGTTCACAAGTCTGTTGCCAATAGCAAGGCTTAAAACATGACAATAGCATAATCAATGTCCCAAGGGCGACTTTAGTTGAGGTAACTCATATCATAAAAAACCTCTTTCATCACATACGCTTATGAGGTGTAGCCATGCAGATATAGTTCCATTTTAATCTGCAGAGGTTTTGAGATATATATCTCTGAGATTTCTTCAATAAGTGAGTGGCATAAGGTAATATTAACAACAACGTGTATTTTCTTAACTCTTTCCCTGTGACTCATGCAGGATAATCCATAGCTTATGATGGGAGTTTTCTTTGGAACTCCTTGTATTTAACAGTCAGAGGGACATCAATTCCAAATATCAAAATGTTTGTTCTATTTAGTGGCATATATTTGACAAAAAATCTTAGGGATTATTACTTTTAGTCTTACTCCATGTGAAAAACCTTTTCTTACATCGTATTCCTAGGAATAGGTTTCAATAGTTAGAGATGCTCTGGAGCCAGCGTCTGCTAACCATTAGCGGGCCATTACTGCACCTTAAGGCAGCTCTGACTTCAGCTTTTGGCTCCGGAGGAGGCTGCTTGATTTGCCCAGATGTAATTCTGGTGTCAGGTACGATCTTCCATTAGATCCTTTACCTCTCACAAAACGAAAGCTCACCTAAAAAAAACAATATAAGTGTATGTGTCCGCTATGGAATCATTTCACTGCTTTACATTGGTAAAGCTTTTTACCACATTTTCTTTACCATAGAACTTCAGTATTCCTATGCATAAGCAAAACTTTAATAAATTGCAGATTCGAGTTGGAAGCGTTTTTTTTAATAAGCCTGAATTAAATATACCGTATACACTTAAGCTTATATTGTTATTTTAGGCGGCCATTTGTTTTAGGTGTCCGTACTCCTGCCTGTTTCTCCACTTGGGATGTGCTGACTACCATCTACTGTAAATAATATATATATAGTTAGTATATATACTGACTATGGACAAGGTCCTCATGCAACCCCACTTCATACTATCTGAATATCCCTTTAAAGGCAGATATTTAACATTAATTTGGAAATGGATTAAATCTTGGAAATAAGAACATATTTCTGAAAGTATGCAAAATAGCTGACTAATATATTCTGGTGAGACCAGGTTGGACTAATAATATTGTCACAGTGTTCCAGTTGAAACTTACTGTAAAAGGCCCAGAGTCTTTCACCACCACATAAATCTATGAGAAACTTGACTTTGGTTACTGCCTTAATCTCTGGTGGGACCACATCTTTTTCATAAATCAAAACTTGGTTGCGGTTTGAGGGCAGCAGTGATATTATTCTAAACAGCTTATAGTTTGTTAGTGCTCTGGATGCTTAACAGAGGAGATAAAATAAAAATAAAAAGCAAGAACAGAACAATTAGCTGTCCAACAAACACAAACAAAGTTGCGAAGGAAAAGAACACTGCGGAGGAATCCAAGCTGTCCTTGTTTTAATGCCTTCCTTTGTGTTTTATCTCTTCCTTAATTCTACTTTCGTATTTTCCAGTCTTAAAAAATTCCAACCGCATCATTTTCTCTGAGCGCTGTGCAGGCGGAGCATACTGAACAATCAACACATCCTGACTGGCATAATGGCTCTTTGTGCTCCCCCACCCCGCCCCTGGAAACCTATTCCAGAGTGAGTCAGGCACATGCAAACTGTTTTCTAACCTACACCCACCTCAATTGACCTGTGTCTAGTTTTTCCAGCCGAGAACCCAGAAGCAAAATCTCAAGTCTCTCACAGTCATTCACTGGCTGACAGATTGGGTTATGGAGGCGGAGGGTGGTTAGACTCCAGAATAGATGGAGGGTGAAAAAATGGAGGACTACACACAAGCCTGTCTTTTATTATCCTTGAAAAGTGAAAGAACCACAAATCAACTTCACATCTCCCTGGAGCCAGATCACGACCCAAACCCTGTTGCTCGGAAAAGAAGACATGCAACAAGAAACGGACAAAGTCCCACTGTTATATATCGACCAGAGCGATCTAAAGAAGCCATGCTCATACAAAAAAAAGGCTTATTTAACATGTCTACTGTGCATGTGTGTACATACTGTAGGAGGTAATGTATTCGGTTTGGTTTTTGTGTTTGATTGTCATTTTGTCAGCTGGATTACAGAAAGAATATGGTCCTAATTTTCATTGGTCAAGAAAGACTTTCTTAACGGATCAGAATCAATGGGCGAATACATGCATTTTTTTCACTTAAAGGAAAGGTCCTTTCAGTTTTAAAATGCATTTGCGTGGCATCATGGACATAAAAAATTAATTCTGTACTGGGTAAAAATCCTGTTTCATGCAACTCCTCTGATTAGTCTAGTTGCGTGCGCATAGAGTCCTATTGTCCTATGTTGAGTACACCAAAGTTTTATGTTAGAAATGTATAGTAGGGGTCAATTTCCACAATTAGCATAAGTTGCGTAATTTGCATGAATTACCATTATAGCCTATGAAGATGGCTTGAATGGCTTGGCCGATTTGGACCATTTTGGAGTGATCTTGGGGGTTATTGAGGTGACAATTTACAACATTTGCAGCATCAAAAATGGCAAAAAAAATGAAAATACTTATATTTCCACTATCGGTGGACTGATTTTGAAGATTTATGGGTCTCTGGATATAGTTTGGATTGGCCAAGTTATCTTTTAACTATTGTTAAGGCTATAATGCCATTATTTTTAATTAACACAAGGTAAGCATCCAGCAGTTGCTATGTGCTGCAGACCACTACTATACATTTCTAACATAAAACTTTGGTGTACTCAACATTTCCGGGTTCACTCAGCTGGCAACTAGATGGCCAGTTGGTGGCAATACGCAAAAACAACAAATATGAATGTATCCACTATTATTTTAAAACCATCTTTGGCATTGCATACTTCAAAAAAGTCAACACAGAAATTCTGCTCCCATTCCATTCCTGGTTACAGCCACAACATATTTTACCAAGGCTGTAAAGAATCTACGAGAGAGCAAACCAAGCTAATTAGCATGTTAGCACACTTGATTGACTTGATTTGTTTGCAACTGAACAATAACAAACTCCATCATAGTTAGTTTAGACTATCTGGTTGAATAAGTTAAATAAACTGTTCAAAACTAGCAAAAATAAATCTGAATAAAAAATAAACCTGTCAACATTTATTTCATATTTCACTTAGTTTACCATGTTACTGGATAAAGGTTTGGCTGTAAGAAATGTTTAAAAGTATAATGTATTACGTTTGCTAACGTGCTAATAGCTTGACTGAATCTTGTCGACTGGTATATATACAGTAGTCTGTGGCTAAACTAAAGCATCCCCAAAGGACTTGAATTCCCAGGTGCTTCAAAATGTGGCTCCTATTTACATGAATGTAAACAAAGTGATAAGAAAAACTCATATTAAATTAGTTCTGTCTAACAGAAATGCAGATGTTTTATGAAACGAAAAGAACCAATGGAGACAGAATATGAAAGCTCACACATAACATTATCAGATGCTGCTAAGAAACTAATCCGTGCTATCAGAGGAAGGTGTTGTTTTGATTATGTTTGAGTCACCATGGTGAGGCCATATCGCTGCACCATAACCCGTCCACACCTTACTTGTACCGTGACCCCATCAGTCACTTGATCTTTTTCTAATGCTTGTCTTTTGTAAAGTGGAGTAATTATATCATTGCGTTTCATTCAATGTTGTTTACCTGACGCTAACCTTCCATATTGAGCCTGGAGAAGGGTATTATAAGTCAGCTTGTGTTGTATTGTTTGAATGACAACTTCTTTACAGGGTTACAAAATTTATTGAAAGGTAAATAGCATTAATCCATGGGAAGTGCCTGATAAAAAATCCCTAAATTGTTAGATAGAGACTGTGTGTTTTACCTACATGAACGTTGTATGTTCTCCCTGTTTGCAATACTCTGATCCAACAGTAGAACATACAGTATCTTATCTGACTCATTCCACGCTTTCTTTACAATTTATGTTCATATTAAAGCATTCATAGTCAGGCTCCTGGCAATGTTTATCTCTCAAATATACTCTGATAACTTATTTTACCGTTATCAAACAGCCATGTTAGCACAATCAACAAGTACCACACTCTGTATTTCAGGACCTTATCACTCTGTCAAGGAAATAAGCCATGTCTACTTTGTGTGGTTGGTTGTTTCATTTAAAAATGTTTGCTGTTGCAGCATTAACGCTAATTCTGTCTTTGGGACTGCTGAGGCCAGTGGAAAAAAAAAATATCTCTCTAATGCCTTTGTTTAGGGAGAGGACACTTTAGGAGTTTGGTCTGTTAAGATTTAGATTTAACATTCAGATTTAGGTTTTGGAGAGATCATGTCAAGCATAAAGCATGACAATGAACAGGCAGTATATTAAGGATATTTCAGCTTAGTTGTAAAGGGGAGATCAGGTACAAAACTGGGAGATCAGGCAAAAGAAGTCTAAGAAGTCCAAACAGGGGAAGGCAGAGTAATAAGACATCAAAAGAGGGAGATCAGATAGACTTAGAGACTGACTTTGTGAAAGTAAAGAGGCACACACAATGCTCAGTAGTTAATGAGGGAATGAGTTGCAGGTGGGGAAATTGGATGTGGAAACCAGGTGAGGGGAATGAGTTGGTTGCAAGGAGTGAGAATTAGGCAGGAACTGAAATGACAGGAGAATTTATGATTAAGGCAAAACCAGAAAAACATACTAAAAGTGGCGGGAGTTTGTTTCAAGATTTAACATTTAGACTTATCATTTAGATTTAAATTTGGCCTTTAGATACAATTTTACATTTAGATTAAATATTTAGATTTACCATTTTGATTAAATATTTGATTTAGATTTGAATATTTAAGTGTATTTTACATATAAACCATACATACATAGGATGAGGCAATTTAGCTGAATGGAATGAAAGTGAGAAAGCATTTCAGCTAATATATTTATTTTAATTGTTCAAATTTTACCCTGTCCTCCACTGCCCGGGAATATTCCCTCCCTCCCCAAACTGACGAGGCAGAGCGTCAGGCTTAATGTTCCGAGAACCAGGGCGGTAGGAGAGGGAGAAATTGAACCGAGTGAAAAAGAGGGCCCATCTATTCTGTCAGGAATTCAGTCTGCGGGCCGACCGGATGTATTCCAAATTCTTGTGGTCGGTCCACACCAGGAAAGGTTGACTGGTCCCCTCGAGCCAGTGACGCCACTCCTCCAGGCCAACTTCACTGCTAGCAGCTCCTGGTTTCCTACATCATAGTTTATTTCCGCTGGTGTCAAACGCCTTGAAAAGAAAGAACAGGGATGGAGTTTTTGGCTGTTGGTTGCTCGCTGACACAGGATGGCCCCCACCCCCATATCAGAAGCATCCACCTCCAAAACAAATGTCTTTCAGGATCGGGTACTCGGAGGATGGCTGCGGAGATGAACCTGGCCTTAAGGTTCTGGAACGCCTCCTCAGCCGAGGAGGACCACTGGAACATAACCTTAAGGCCGCTACACACCAACCTGAGACCAAAGAACGCGTACCGAAGGCGTCCCGACTTTTAGGTCCGCTACGCCGCCCGCCTACGAACACACCACAAAGACTTCAGTTGACGAGTGGCAATAACTGTCCTTACCAGCAGGCAGCGGTAGTGTGTATTCGTCATTCAAAAGAGGCAACAACCGGAAGACAGACTATACACCGAGAGAAGAAGAACAGGCTGCGTGATATNAATTCATAATGGGAAAATATGTAAAAATAATGAAACTCTAATATGTAGCAACAAAAAAATAGTAGGCTATAGGGGTTTCACCAACTAATCGACTAGTCGACTAGTCGACTACCTTTACCACTAGTCGGCGCTGTAGGCCCTAGTCGACTA